TGTGTGTGTGTGTGTGTGTGTGTGTGTGTGTGTGTGCGTGCGTGCGTGTGTGCGTACGTGTGTGTGTGTGCTTGCGTCTCTCTGCGCACAGACGTGCGCGTGTGCCTGCGTGTGTGTGCGCGTGCTTGAGTCTGTCTGCGCACAGACGCACGAGAGTGCCTGCGTGTGTGTGTGTGGGTGTGTGTGTGCGTGCGTGCGTGCGTGCGTGCGTGCGTGCGTGCGTGCGCGCGCGCGTGTGCTTGCGTCTGTCCGCATACAGACGTGCGCGCGTGCCTGTGGGTGTATATTCCAATTCACACCGTATCACCGTTCACACTCAAGCAAATATGAGCAAAGATGAACAAGACGCGTGAAAACAGAACTTGCGCTACTTTGCTCCCTTATGCTGCTACCTGACCCTCACATATATTAAGCTTATAGGGACCACATTTATGCCACGCCCGCAACTGCTGTGTTATGATGGCACTCGCAAAGGTTTTATGCTCAGGACCAGAATCTCCCTAGATCACCCATCCCAACTCTGCCTTAATAACAGCCTCAGTACTGCTTAACAACAAGGAAAGCTAAGGTAGGCTACAGTACGATCTATACAAATTCATTACCTAAATGTGAATTCTGTACCTAATAAAGCTACAAACATGCACGATTACAAAATATACTGAGTGTACCTGCGATTACCACATATAAGATCTATATATTATTAAAGCCAAAACTAAAATGACAGGCAGTGTTACAGAGAAAGGCAGAGGAATAAAGTTCACGGACAAAACTAGGGCAAAATAGATTATTATAAATAAACACTCATATTGAATTTCTTATAACTTAGAAAATCTATAGGTTAAGATCACACAATTAAAAAGTAGAAGGATGAGAGGATCTAAAAACACAAATTATTATAATATAAACTAATGTACATGAAGAACGTTTAGTTGATTATAACTTAGTGACAGATTATCATAGGATCTCACCGGTGAGTGACTTCCAACAACTAAATATGCTGCTATAAATATCCCATCGAACAACGCATACCAATGCACGTTGCATATTTGAATTGCTGTATAATACATTTGCAGTTAATTTGTTGCTACACTGTCAAACTTGTATCATCAACACTGTGTCACCGGTACAGAATCATTTTAATCAACCGCGTGTTAGACAATCTGACAAAATGTGGAAAGCTGCGCAGCAATACATCGTATCATTTATGCATTTACTTCTTTTTTTAAATATTCAATGTCCTTTTATTATCACAAACACATGTATCATACAACTGACACCTTGTGACCACATTTCTTTGGCTAAATGAGCTCGTATTTTTTCTTGCAGCTTTTCACATGTCTGCCATATTGCTGTGGCCTTGAATTTATTTCCACCACTTTGAAACATGTACATAGAAAAAAAGGTGGGTGCAAATACACTTAACGTTCACTATTAGTTGCGCCGAATACTAATCTTGCTCCGAACGATTTGATAGGTAACTTATACAGTAAATAGGAACATGGATAACTCTTCAAAAAAGCGAATCTCCCACAATTCTGAGACGACTGTGATCCAAGGCAGACTAGATGGATCAAAACAAATAAACTGAAAATATTCGACCAGGGTCACTTGCTCACCAAACATCAAAGAATTACCGAAAGGCCCCCTGATGAATCACTCGCCTTTCACGCGTATGACGATACCTCAGAAGCATGCCTAGCTGAACCCTCCACTACAAGACAAACGATCCTGTGTGAAACCGAAAGAAGGAAATATACAGACCCAACATCCACAGCTCCACTTCATACCATGAGGGGCCCAGAAAAGCAGTAAGAATAAGGGCCTATAGTTCCAGGGGATGCGAGGGGTCTGCACCCCGCGCTGTGAAGACTGCAAACGTCGATGTGCGATTGGTAGCAAAGATTACTTCTGTGGCAAGTATGGGCCACAGCGAGTACCTTTTAGCAGCAGAAACTAATCAAACTAGACAGAGGGCACTCACGGAGAGTGGATACCTCCGCGAGCATGTAACATGTATGTGTTATGAGCTGGCTCGCCGCTCGCTGCTGGCTGCTGCTGACTGACTCGCCTGCTGCTGACTCGCCGCTCGCTGGTGGCGGCTGCTGACTCGCTGCTCGCTGGTGGTTGCTGCTGACTCACTCGCCTGCTGCTGACTCGCCGCTCGCTGACTCGACGCGCTATCGATCGCGCCGCGCGGGCTGGACACACACACACACGCACACGCACACGCACACGCACACGCACACACACACACACACACACAACACACGCACACACACGACCGATTACATTACCTCCCCTGCAACTCCGTTGCGCGGAGGTAACAACACCAACATGCATGACATCGTTGACAGCGTCAATGATAAAAGAAAAGCTCTCCAAATTACTTTCTGCCAAGAGATTGTGGTGTTTTTTTTTGGGGGGGGGGAGCGAGTCCAATGAGAATTCATTAGCTGACGAGCTAGTTGTAAATGTAATCAAGGTTATGGGTATGCCCTGGACCTCCATCATTGATAGCTTTGAATTCAATGCAAACCTAAACATTTCCTAAAAAAGAGTAAAACGACACATAAATTTGATCTGATCTACACGTGGAAGATTCCTAAAGCAATCGTAGTGAAGTTAACTAAGCGAATAATATTATCATAGATAAACAGAAAATTAACTTGTGTAAAGTGTACTTGCACCCAAAACGTGTATGTACTGAGAACATGGGTATTATAACACCATTATACAAAAACTATCCATGCTTCATTTAAAGTACAAGATGTGCACAAGAGAAGTTACGTATTACGGCTATAAGGATAGCACGCAGCAAGACATACAAGCTAGTCGGCTTAGCTAAGCATAGATACGTGTGGTAGCATTAACATGCATGCCTGCAGGTACAATCATATGGGGATCAGGTAGCGCAGAGATGCTTCAATCACTATATTCACCTTGTAAATCACGGCTGCCCACTGCATGCTCAATATCACCATCAACAATCTCAAAGGGGGTATCGTAATTATTTTCCCACCCTCTATTATTTTGATAAATGACTACCATACTTAGCACATGCCAATAAATGGCAATAGTGCCAACAGTCCCTTTGATATGAACTGATGCACACTGTATGTTGCTGCACTACAGCATACATCAACTCAACACGGTCCACTGCCCCTTAAATGCCACCACCAGACCTGAAGAATGACAGAATGTCATCACCAAATACATATACATCGGATCTACAATATGACGGCAATATTCGCCGTCTGATACACAAGTTACGATAAGGACAGAACTTAGCTGTCATGGCCGATCAAACTAGTTTTCACTATGATATCACGCAGCCAGATTTCTCTGGGACGTTGCCTTCAGACTTCTCGATCTCTTGCAGGATGCACTCGAACATGTCAGTGACGCTCTGAAATCGGCAGACAATTTCAACGAAGTGAGCATACTATATCAATGAACTAAGCAGACGATATCAATGATTTGAGCATACTATATCAATGTAGTGAGCAGTGATATCAATGTAGTGAGCATACTATAACAATAAAGTGAGCAGTGATATCAATGATTTGAGCAGCAACATCAGTGAGGTGAACAGATGATATCAGAATATCAATTAATTAATTTAATCATAAATTATAAATGAAATAATGTGAGCAATGACATCAATGAAGGGAGCTCACGATTTCAAAGCGCAATTCTGTATTGTGAACACATAACTTCCAATCTACACCTGTGCTCACTCACACATGCTCTCACACACATATGCACGCATGCATATATATAAACAACAATACACTGGCTTTTATATGTGATGATGATGGTTGGGACTAAACAGGCTAGACAACTTAAACGTGCAATGTCAAAACAAGTGCCGCACAGCGACAGCGCTCAACTGACGTGTACTGTAGCCAGGTATTCTTCTGATAAACTCACTGGCAACCGAATCAAGTGCGCCCTCCTGCAACCGCGTTCACGCTCAGAGCATATATCTAGGATACTACTAATACAGATCTAACATCTATGATAGGCTTTGCTATACCTACTGGTAGTACAGTAATAAAGATACAGCTGTGTAAATTTAATGATTTCGCTATCTTAACATGTTATCATAGATATGCGTCGAGCACGAGCGTAGTGGTGGTGGTGGGGGAGGGGGGTGGAGGGGGGAGGGAGAGGGGGTGGGTGAGGGTGGAGGGAGGGGCGGGTGGAGAGGGCTCTAATAGCAAAAGCAGTTCAGTCCTTTGTTAACGGTCAACAAATCCATGTTTAACCCTCCTCTTGAGGGTCAAAAGGTTATCAGAACACATACTCTTCGCACGTCAGCGGAAAGTGGATTTCATGGTCCTTTCAATAAAGTGATAAAAACGGTAGGTCAGCGCTGAAACAAAAAAGTTTTGCACTCGGTCCGTTAGACCATGTCCTTAGAAAATGTCTGATATCTGACCTTTCCCCCACTGTCCTTTGACCAGTGAATTCCAATTTCGCGCTGGTGATGGGTTTCCTCGCCATCCCACTATACATCGAATATTAAGAGCGTAGGTCGAGCCGTTGAGATTTGTGCCGCAATTCCGTATTTCCTCCTATACCTTAAGTTAAGAGGGAAATATTCCCCCTCTATTGACACATCTTGACCTTTGACCTTTGACCCCCCAAATTTGACATCCCGAGTTCTTTTCACGATCCCCCCCGACGTCCCAAATATCAAGACCGTACGTCGAACGGTTAAGATTTGTGCCCAAATGTTGACGGACGGACGGACGGACGATCATGCGATTCTACAAGCTGCAGGACGGACGGACGGACGATCATGCGATTCTACAAGCTGCATCTGACTTAGTCAGCTGAGCTAAAAACAATCGCTATACACATCAAATCCATTTACAAAACAGAAGGGCAGCAGATTCAGATCAGAATGTTACCTCGTTCTCTTTAGCAGATGTTTCTAGAAACATTGCCTTCCACGAATCTGCCAGTTTCTTTCCATCATCTGTGCTAACGCGTCTGTGTGAATATGCCAAAACAAAGCAAACATTGTATGAACTTGTTAAAATACTCAGTAAAAGGAATGCAGTCTTAATATAAATCCCACTTTGCTGTCACAGGGCAATTTTGTTCGTTTAACAGTTATGGTTGAATAGGATAGCATAGTGCCTGTACTATAGTTAGGATAAAACGTTGTAGAATTTTGGATTGCCATTTCTCTAATAATAAATTTAAGATTTTAGACAAAGTCCAATGTTAAATATCTGGAACATACTATTTATTAAATTCTTGTACACTCATGCACGATAGCATCTACAAAGCAAAAATAGTTTCGAAGAACAAGGTTACCGTTCCAGGTGCAAATCTGTCTTGTTTCCAACCAACACAACAGGTAGGCTGTCATAAAAAACGGATGCCTGTTAGTTATTGTTCATAAATTATGTATTTATTACAATGTCTACGCGAAGTAGTGTAATCCAAGTTTTCCATCTATGCAATGGAAAAAACGTGCATTGAAATATGTCAGGTTTAACTGAGCACCAATTTTAGTAAAGCTGAAGTACACCTATAATAAGGCTAGAACTGGAGGTTTTAATTCATAATGTATTGTGGAGCTGCAAAAAAATTAAATTTAAAAGATTTAAAAACACGTCTCATTAAACCTATGGCAAATGATGACACACTACACATTGGGCAGCCTATTAAGAAATGAAAGGATTAGTATTTAATTGACTATCGACCAAGTGGCTCAGGCAAATTGCATTGGCAGTCAATTCTAGCTGAAGTGCTATATCACTGGAATTGTGCTGCTACGTGCAGAACGGTGTGAATTACTTCGCCAGATGGGAAAACTTCTGAAAATGGGCACGTGCGCTTGACGTAGAAACTCACTTGACTTTTCCCGTCATGTCGAGCAGCTTGTCATGTATAACCTTCACAACCTCGAAGCTCTTGTTGGAGGTAATGGCGTAAACAAGTATATAGCCATGGATGTCCATTACATACGACTGTGGAATGATCGAGTATTCATCCTGTAAGTGCGAGAGGAGTGAACACCTTATAAGAGCACATATAGGCAAGCATCCAGAAAATGTGACAGAAACGTAACATTTACTTACATATTGCCATATGATTAGGTTGACATTTCATTCGAATTGAACACATATCGAAATTTAGCTTGATGCACTGTCCGTCTGTAGGGTTTCAGTGCCAAATTAGTATTGGTGTATCGCTTTGACTTTGAACAATGGTTTGGCAGCATTAGTGCACCTTGTTTGTCATGCTGGGCATGACCGTAACAGCAGTAATGTGCTTGCCAAATGTCAATTCCATGTTGATGAGACTTCACAGGGATTTGAAACGCCGAATATATATATATATAATACACACACATATAAATACTCTCTTAATGCGATCACTAATGTTTAGCGTTTAAAAGCTACGTTTAGGTAAATTGTGCGTCAGCTATGCTACATAGCATTTTATTACAATTAGACAGGAATGAGAAATACGTTTACTTGAGCTTCCCAATTTAGACATGGCACTGGTTTTATTGCTACCGGCAGAAAGCCAGATATAACCAGCATGTATTCTGTACAAGAGGGAGTTGGTCATTTTTAATCATTATGTTCACTTATTAAGGTAATTTTTTTCTTTTCCATAAATATTACGTCATTGACATATTTATCAATGAAATGAATAATCATTAATGTATTGTTAATTTAAGCTGCATTCAGGATAGCTGCAGTTATTAATACAAGACGACAATCCGACGTTACAATTTTCACAATATTCACGAAATTTACTATAGACAAATCAACTACGCTTACTCAAGATATATAGAATTAACCAATGTGGAGCTTGAGGAAAAAGATGCCCAGGATACATAGACATCAGAAATAGATAATAGGGAATTCTATAGGAATAATAGGAAATAATAGAGAATAATAGAGCATTCTGATAGACATGCTCATTATACACACACTGTACTGTTGTCACGGACGTCACAGATACAGGATTGTAAGCGTTCGTGCACCCACACGTGACTTCGACACAGGTGGTCTGCTCAGATAAACCTCACTGTTCTCTCACTCTTTCTCTAACTCACTGCGATTACCAGCAGGCTTATTTCTAGAAAGATATTATAGCAATATGAACCCCACATCTACCTAAATAAGATTGCACATTTAATAAAATGCGTTAATGATGACTTGCACAATGATGCTAGAAATACTGGTGATACACGAGGAAATTTGCACAACAGAAACAATCGCCACAACATATCAGTCGTGAAAAACCGCCGTGAAACTAATAATTCTAGTTAATATGGCCAGCAGCGACGTTGGACGGTTTTACTTCACATTAACGTCTATGAAATGTTCACAGAGAAATAAGAACGGTTTATATTTAACCCTTTTAACGTTGCAAAAACGATGTAATTCTATCTTTCACCGTATTACTAGCTCTCCTAAAATTAACAAAAACAAGATGCAGTCGGGTAAGATCACTCGAAACACTTTCAGGGGAAATATGAATTAAATCTGTTCCTCATACAATATAAATCCAACCAGGTTCAATGCCCCCACCTAGCAACATATACCAGGGATCAACCATCTACAGCTAGCACATGGTCCCAACGGCGACAAAAGGGAGGGGCAGTACATGCAAAGTCACTGATGCGCAAGCTGCCATTTTCTCATGCATGCCCAACACACCCACATTAATATCACACATCTCTATTATCCACTCCTGATATCACGATATACAACACTGAACCATTCAGTTACAAAAAATATTAAATACTTGTTTTTTTTAAATTATTAACATATAAAATATACAAAGTAACATAATTAATAATTATTACAAACAATAATATGATTATACAATAATATAATTCAAATTATAACATAAAAAATCTTTTATAACATTAAAAAAAAAACATATGATAATATAATATAACTAGAGCACTCAGAGAGCACAGACCACCAAGGCAGCTCAATTCTCTCACTGTAAATTTTTTTATTAATTAATTAATTAAATAATTAATTGGATCCGGATCACCAGCAAAATGTAATCAATTCTAAGTTACCCCATTTCTGACCTATCCTAAAAATTTAATTAATTGATTAATTAATTAATTAATTAATTGGATCGGGATCACCACCAAAATCTCATCAATTCTAAGTTAGGCCATTTCTGACCGATCCTGAAAATGTTATGACAATCCGGCCATAACTTTTTCAGTTAGGCTGTACACAAACCCACAAACCAACAAACACACGCCGAACAAACACACGCCGGTGAAAACATAACCTCCTGCCAACCCCTTGGCGGAAGTAATTAACATAAAAAATTTGAATTCGGATAAAAGGTTAATATTCCGTCACTATCACACAGCCTTCCATTGGGGGGGGGTCACCTAGCATTTCGATCACCTACCTGCCCTGCGGTGTCGACAACTTTGCATTCGTAGAGCTGTCCTTTACTCTTGACGTCCTTCGAAAACGCTGCAATGTGAAACAAACGGATTATAGTGATGATTGTTAATGACAATTACCAGCGTTTTGTGATTCAGGCGTGGGCGGCGCTCGCGCGCGAGCAACGCATCATGTTGTTCGTACAGTAGTCTGCATAATGATATATATACTATAGTGCACGAAATCATATTTCAGCTGTACAAAAATAATCTGATACCCCTGGAGGCAGTTTGCCCTCCATTTACAGCAAGCTTCTATTTCATGGGTAGAGTCTATTTTAGACGAGCATGACGACGTGCATCTGGTAATTTTATAGCAAGAACACACTGCTTTACAGATGTCCTCTTCCTGAAGATAGAAGATTGTGTGCTGCATGTTTTTTCTTTCAGCTATTTTTATTCATCCACGTATGCACGTGACTAATAAACAAAAATAAACAACACATTTGGTGCACTTTGGCACAACAAATATGCACAACATACATACGAAAACACTAAAAAGTAAAACCATAAAAACTTCAGCAATTTATGTACCGTTAAATTAACTCAATTTTTTTCTATCAACGATCGATCTATACAGATTACACCTGCGCCTTGCCAAGTTGCCATTCTATAAACAAGACGACGAGCGTTTTTAAACGAGAGCAGCCGTTTCCTGGGAGGAACAGGAAAATGTTCTCTTTGTGAGAAGCCGGAGAGTTTCGCATACATTCAAGGAGCCAAAACACCCCCACCCCACCCAGTCTTCGGTCCGCCGTGGGGTTAGCAACTCCACGACGCAAGCTTACACATAAGCACACAGCTTTATGTCACAGTTTTCATCTGGTTTACCGTTACTTCTGTTCTCATCGTGCTAGAAATGTACCGCTAGTACAACAATTATGAATACCCCATTAAGAACTATCTATAGGAACACGTTTACACCACTCAGATGATTGATGTTTACTTTCAGCCTAAGCATAGGTTTTGTTTAGATTCACGTTCCCTAAACATGAATGCGAGATTATTCTTGGCATGCTTTCCTAGGTGGAAACTAGACTGACGCGCGATAGGTTCCCGTGGCGCGCTGCCACAAGATACGCGTGCATACACGCGTAAATACAAATTGTCATTATTCACCGGCATCATTCATTAGCACATAAACATGGAACTAGAATTATTAAATTCAAGAACCCAGTCACCACGGGCTATCTTTTCAACTCAGTAAAATAACGTTGCTCTGCTGATCAATGAACTAGTGAGACGTACGGGCATGGGTGGGATCTCTCTCAAATGAGAGCGGGTGAAAGAAACCCCCGCAAAACCTCTCCGTCAATGTCTTGATAATGATAGATTTCCTGTTGTGGCCTGTGCCAAAATATTCTCCGCCCCAAAGCTGAGCGATTGCTAAGTTTTTTTCCACTGCCTGTACATCCGTCGTAGATGCCAACAGCAACTTATTGAGTCAGTCTACGTGAAAATGGAAGTGGAATTGGGATGCACAATCTTTCCCAAGTCATATATATATAATTACCGCACAACCATCGAACCTCCATATTCATTTTTTATGCAGATAGATATACTACTTATGCATTTCATGTCCTTATTGTTACGAACGATGTTTAGAATACGTCATGTCAAGTTTTAAAATGATTAAGTGTCTATGCGTCCATTAACCAAATTGAAAAAGTGAATGAAATCCAACACGATTAATTACCAGCAGCGAATGCCATAAACCCTCCGAACAAACAACGAAGAAACAACGAAGGAACAACGAAGAAACAGCGATGGGATGTAGCTTGAAAAATGTGCGCGCAGGTTTACGTTGCAACACCGACGCAGGCTGCGGCGCCTGCCACGGCACCCCCTACAGTTACGCGCGCTGGAGATGCAACCTTGAGTTTTAATCCACACAAACAGGAACAGCAGGCCGCCTTACAAGCTCATTACCTCCATCCCATCAAAGCTCATGCGCGCAGCCGGGTGTAGCTGTGCGGCGGCGCGGTACGGCGGCGGCGCGGTACGGCGGCAGGCAAGAGTAGCGAGAAGGGAGAGGGAATGGGCGAGGGGGGAGGTGTGTGGGGAGAATATGCGGTGCTCAAAGATGCGGAATGACAGCATCATCCTCACACGCACTATATATTTCTCTCTCTCTCGCTCTCTCTCTCTCTCTCTCTCTCTCTCTCTCTCTCTCTCTCTCTCTCTCTCTCTCTCTCTCTCTCTCTCTCTCTCTCTCTCTCTCTCTCTCTCTCGTCTCTCTCTCTCTCTCTCTCTCTCTCTCTTGCTTGTGCTCTCTTTCGCGCTCGCTCTCTCTCTCTCTCGCTCTCGAAGAGCGCGTTTTTGTTCCGAGCCTCTGTAACCGAACTCGCCGCCCACTCTAACTTCTAAGCCGCTCTCTCGATCTGTTTGTATGTGAAGGGCCACGTACCACACCGTGGGGACACAGGAACGGTTTCTCATATTATCCGGAGTGTGACGAGTGTCATAATATATAGATGGTGTCTATATTATCTTACTCCTGATATTATGAGAGCAAGCGGAGACTCGATGTCTGAGCATGCGCTGTTATTACGATTCGACACGTCGGACACGTTCTGACCGTCAACCCTTCACACTTTTATAACCCAGATTTTTCGCGCGATTATGCAAATAAAACGTGTACGTGGCCAGAATAACTCGAAGGATATTACAACACAGTTAGACCGGAGATAAGAATCGGACGCAAACATACACGCGCTACTTAACTCGAATGCTTTCAATTTTTCATGGGCGTACACTAGACGAACTCTGTAGTTGCCTTTGGCACTAACGATTGATGTACAATAATGTTGGAGAACGCAGAGTAATCGGCTAGCTTCGGGGGTCGGGTTTGTTGTTATCAAATCACCGGCGGAGAGTTTTCATCTATTTAGGTACAATAATGTAGCCCAACACAAGAGTAGGGTACAACCTTGGAGTAAACAACGTAAACATAGGGTTAAGTCATTGTATCTTTAAGTCTTGCTCGGAAGCGGGTATAAGCACGTTAACGTCACCATATAGACCCGAGTTTGAAGAATGCACCGTAACTGGGTTACAAATATTCACGATCCTAGCTAGTCACAAATTAACATGCAGTTGTACATCATGTGGCAACCAGAGAGACTCAAGGATTTAGTTTTCGTGCACACTGCTACTAGTACTAGTCGCAGCTCTGACAGAGTGCTAGCCTAGAGTCGATGTAGTTACATATAGAAACAACAAGCACGCGCGGTTGCACTGTACAGTGTTTATACCGCTCGCTACATCACACATATTCAGGTTATCCATATATTTCTTTATTTTGGTTGCATGCAAATATTTGAACGCGCAATCTGTAGTAATACGTATGCATGAGGTTTCTATTCGCATGCGTACGGTGAGATTTACACACAAAATGTGCTTGCACAACGTTCACTACACTGTGCTAATATATACAATGTAATTACAACGCCCTTATTACAAATTACAAAGGCTACTTACAAAGCATAATGTTGCTCACACAACTCGAATGTTAACTATTCAACTTTCGCACGTACCTATCAATACCTATTTGCCTAACAACCATCAACGATCACCAGCCTCTCTCCTCACACATCTCTCCTCCAACCGTCAACACCCGCCACGACCCATTAGCAATTGTTCCCCCACCACATCTCAAAGCTCATTCCCTTCAATAGATCAATACCGCTCCCCACCCAAACCCCAACGCCCCCTTTAAAACATCAACACTTCTTCCGTTCCATACCTCAGCACCCACCTTTATACCTCATTATTCATCTCCCAAACCGTCTATGCCTCAATACCCCTCTCCCACCATATCCCAACACCTCACCCCTTCCATGCCTCACCACTTTACTATGACCTGCCCTGCCCCCAATCAACACCGATTAACTTCAAACTACGATGTTTTAGAAGTATCAAAGTATGACCACATTTGCGTGGGGCCCTTTACCACAACACTTATATATTTGAAATCAAAGCTTTATTATCACAATTTTGAACATGTCAGCTTTAGGCATCACTCCTTTTTTACGATCTCTCGTTTACCACAACCTGACCACCATTATCTTACCAATTGATGTCATTACTTTGTGAAATTGAAATTTCTCCGCAACGTTGACTAGTCAAATATATACACATAACGGTACTACGTGTACAGAAACCTGAAATTTTGTCAGTGTCTACCAACTGAACCCACCACTCATTAGATTCTGCATCACGTTATTATATGTACAAGAACTCACGCAAGGGTAGTCATTATGCCTGAATTCATTAGCCCAATCACCAAATGCTACAGCTATAAGCTTAATAAATTATCACTTGCAATTAGCACATTGTGTTTAATCAATAATACAGTTAGTGTCAGCACAAGAGGATTCCGCTGTTCAATGAATAGGTAACCAAATAAGCAGTGGCGTAGACAGGTCCTTAGTTGTGTGTGGGAGAGGGGATGCTTTCGCTGTTACTTCCATCGCAATGTATATGAAGCTCTTGGATTTTAGCAATTTAGAACCTTCAAGAGGGCCGTTTTTGAGGGAATTGAAAAAAATTGATATTGTAAGTGCAATTTTGTGAATTCTAGGGTAATTTTTTTCTTTGGATCCCAGAGGTTTAATAACACGCACCTCCCCCCCACACACACAACCAGTGGCGGATCCAGAAGAAAATTCTAGGGGGGCGATTCATGCGAGCTCAAGGCCACGAAGCGCCCGGGGGGGGGGAGGGGGTGTCTCCCTCGCACTGTGTGGAATTGTTAAAAAGTTGCAATCTAAAAGCAATCAATTTTGGACATCTTTATCATAGAATGTCAGGATTTTTCCTTCTTCAGGGAGTGTCCCCCTCTTGTTTAGGGAGGGGGGGGTCTGGGGATTTTGTTGAAAGTAACACCTCTTCGATGCAATTTCCTGCACTATGAGGCAGCACTATTAAACAATCTTCATCACAATAACATCACTGTTGAGTTGAGTATTTTTACCTTTGGGGATACCAAAGACTAAAATACTTACTACCAAATCTGTGCTATGTACATGTCCTCACTGGGGTTACCAGTGCAGACTTACCTAAGCTAAATTACCTTTGCCCTGAAAATTCTAGGGGGGGGCGACCGCCCCGTGCTACCGACCCCCCGTTGACAACTACAGCACTGGAATCATCTCCCCCTGAAATTTTGATAAAACGTATATTTTACTGAAAACGTTAAAACTGCAAAAAAATATGAGAAAAACAACCAGATTTAAACCAAAAAGTGCATATTTTCACCCCTTATACAAAATCGGGAATATACTTCTGGTCGGGTCTCAGCACCCCCATCCCCCCCCCCGCCAAAAGCGAGATGAAATTGAATTTTCCCATTCAATCCCCGTGAAAATTCAATATCCCAACTCTCAATAGGTCTATTCAAATTTTGAATAAAGCAAGGATTTAACTTTCGTGAGCAGTGATAAGACTTTGGAGATTTTGAAAAAAAATCGTATATGTTGCGTCCAAAATTAACCGTCTGAGTTTCAGTAAAATAATGTAATTCTTGGACCGAGTTACAGCCATTTTACAGTAGATGTATGTCACGTTCCATTTCTGTAATAATACATTAGGAGAGTATGAATAGCGATGACGGAGTTGTAGATAAATATCCAGTATTTATTGTCTGTAAAATATTAATTTTTCCCCCATTTTCTTCCAGAAAGTAGGGGGGATGAAAGCCACCCCACCTCAATAAGTGTGGGGGGATATACCCACATCCCCTCGCTATCTACGCCCCTGTCAGATGAACTCAAATTTGACTTTTGATATATGCATACAAATATTCATAATCATAATCTTTGTTAGCAGTACTCTACAGGCGCTGCGGAACGATTTTTGAAGTGAGGGTGCTCAATTTGTTACGCTCGACAGTGGCCAATGCAGGTTTTCGAAGAGGGTGGTATGAAACAGGCGGGTCCTCCCTCAGAAAATTTTGAAACCCCATTTTCCTCCTGAAAGTAGGGGGGGATGATTGTACACGCCATCCCCCCCCACGTCAATAAGTGGGGGGACGCATCCCCCCCCCCCGATATCTACGCCCCTGCAAGTAAGGATTGCAGAAGCAAGACCATGTGGGTGCGCTTCGTACGTTCTGGAACGTTCTTTGTGTACACTCCTACCGCGTGCACGCACGTGTGTTATGTATGCGCTTGTAGCATGATGTGCAATACTTTCAACATACAGATACAGTGAGTACTACTTACTGTTTTCGATTGTTGGATCATATGAGTCGACGAATTGTCCATCTACAAACTGTATTGTGAGAGAAGATTTCCCTGAAAGCAAATAAAATAGATGTTACACAAGGTGCGCACTATATAACGAGACCACATCTAAGATTCAGGCACTGAGTAAAGATAAGATGGGCTGAGAGTCTCTTGAGAAATATTTCCTACCACACAAATATAACATAAACCGTTTTCACGATGGTACTTTATTGATCCACAGTTGTGGTATTATCAGTTTAAAACATCTTTATCAGTCATGCACTTGAATTTTCTACGACCCTACAAAGTTCATTTTAGCCAATTTTATTTCAAGCAACATTGCTTTATGGTACCGAACCATGTGAGATGTAAGTGTTCTAGAAAAATGGCATTTTCAGAATAAAAATACTACTAGCATAACTAACTTAGCATAACTAGTCTTAACAAGAAATAAATTGCGCTTAAAAATAAATTAATTATTAACTGGTCCAAAAAATTGCTTACTTGCTGTAAGTTGTAACTTAACCAACCTAGTAAAAATGTTACAGAATGGTGTTGTATGTAATGCTCACAAATGCACTCATGGGCATTAAAATCATCAATATTATTATTTCACCAACTTCATGAATTACGCGACTTGTTTTTTCTGTTGGCGAAAAAAGAAATGTTCAGCAGAATTTCTTTTACCTACCTACTGACCCTCTAACAAGTACTAATTATCCTACGTACAAATTTGTTATTTGATGATAATTAGAAGCTAATAAACACTTGACTTCAAAACGTGCCGATTTCTGTTTATTACTGAAAGCTGGCATACTGCAATCCTTTAACACATTTAGCTGAAAGCGTAGAAATCATTTCACACTCTGAACTGATATTTCAGCTCTCAATTGTGGCACGTAAACATCTAGCAAAACTCGTTTAAATACTATTTTACCGCGTCTGCTCTGCATTCGCATTCTTACTATTCGCATTAAGTACCATGATATTAGCCACATCATACACCGAAATAGATAGAGCGACCCCCGAGAGCAACCAGCTGTTTGCTACACACCTTGCCTGCCATTAGGAGTCATAATAAGCACACACAACATCAGCAGCACTACATTAGCAGAAAGAAAGAGCATACGCAGGACACGCAGGATATACCTACACGAACAAATTGCTCCGACTAATGACTGCTATTGCTCATGCCCTGCACTTGACTTTGCAATGCATACATTTTGCAATACATAATAGTACAAATCCGTAATGCAGCCTCACGAGTCATAGGCCTAGCCGAGACTAGTATGTTTTATTCGGTCAGTCTTTGAAGCTAGGTTTATGTTTTTCACGGCCCCATAAAAGTACGGTAAAGGCACTTAAACCGAACCAATAAACAATAAAAGTGTTACCACGACTTTTGCCAAGCTCCACCCAACTGAACTATGACATGTGTAGCTCTGGGAATGTATCCAAGAACAAAATAAGTAAAACTACATACAAGTCCGCATGATGTGTGGCAGTTTCGCAACCTAATTGGTCGTTCTGCCAACTTACTGCCTACCGTGAACACCTTCCCACTAATACTCAGTCTCTCTCAGCCTCAAATGGGGGTCTCATGTATGAAGCTAATGTTAGAACTACCAAGTTAAGTATTAGGAGGTGCTAGCTGTAACTATACTCTATACTTGAGCTGTGACAGACCTGCACATTAATAAATTTGGTTACCTAACATTAGTTGACACGTGCGAATTTCTGATAACAATGACACTTCTAAGCTACTATAATTTTATTCTTTAAACGTGGATGAACAAAAAAAGATAGCAGCGCAGACTACACGTGCACAGCATTTGAAAGTCAAAGTATACTGAACTGACCCTTGACCATGCCAATTTCCGGCTAACGCTCCATTAGGAGTGTTCCCAACTTTGATATCATTAATGATTAATGATTAATGATTGATAATCCTAACCCTAACCCTAACTCTAACCTAAATGACATTAAACCACAAACTAATATATGACCATAACCATATATATAGCTATAGCTATAGTTAGAAACGAGTGCACAGAACTACCTCGTTCGTATGTTGTCGAAGCTGAGACGGGTGCACGGTATAGACGGAACAGGAGACAGATTAGACAGACAGGCAAAAATTTCAATTTTGAGCGGGAACTAGAAACTGACGGACATAACAAGATAGAGACACGTGTTAGTGTTACCAGTGTACCACACGCTACACTTAACAGCTCACATAGTGACAACACCTAGCTGAGCGGGAACCAGTGAGGTTTAATTTGTAATGTATATGATAAGCACTGAAGTACCCTGCTGATTTTGAGTTACATATATATATTTCTAGTGCATGCCTATGAAGCACTCATGCAGGAAATGTTTATTTTCATTAAAGAGGGGAGATGTTACGGTATATGACCGCCAGACGTCGAGAAGAAAAGGGTGTGTCGCGTGGTATGCACGCATGGTGTAGAAGCAAATAAAACGAATTATTCTAAAAAGATATCTGCATTGACTTTGCACATGTGTGAGCATCAAACATAACAACCATGACCATATATATATATATATATATATATGTTATTATGACCATTAAAGCCGCACAATGCGCATCCAAACGCTAATTTCTCCAGTACTAGACTAGCAAATACTTCGTGTCATGCATAATCACACTACCTTATGACAAAATAAACTCT